CAGTGACCCCCCAAAGCCATTTCCAGACCCTCAAAAAGAGACTTTTGTGCACCAGTGCCTGCCAGGCTGCCTCCCTGGCCACCAGCCTCTCTAGGGGGACCCCAGTGGGCGCACAGGACCAATCATTGCAGGAACATCTCTCCAGAGCTGACTCTGCCTGCCAGGTCACAGAGGCAGATGACTCAGCTGCCCATGGCTTTCAGGACTATACCCTGCTCAGGCCTTTGAGGGGGAAACTGAGGCCCTGACCCTCAGGCCACGCTGCCTGCTGCACATAGGCACTGAGTTTGCAGTGAGGGGCTTCAGGGTCACCATGCTGAAGATACCTTGCGGCGCCTACCTCCTTCACAATCATGGTGGCTGTGGAAGTGGAAAAGGCCTGATGTCACTGATTTCCAGGTTTAAAATTATATTTACCAGGCATGGCTTAAACCTCACATGACAGGGAGAAATGCATTTCACTTCATATTTTTTTTTTAAAAAATCATGTCTTTCATCTCCAGCATGACTAAGGATGAAATGCCATCAGTTTTGTGTTTCCAGATAATGTCCTTCCAGAAAATCTCCCCCAACAATAGAGACCAAAGATCATAAACTGGGCATCTGTGCTTTCCTTCCTTGTATAAACATGGGCCTCTGGTCCCACCTTGGTGTCCGCCGGACCCCATGGGTCACAGTCATTGCTGGGTCCGAAGCTTCCCTTTGAGCCTCTGAGATAGGCTGGCAAGGTTAACAAGTTAATAAAATCCTATTTATCGGGCTCCCAAGCCTGCTTCCTCTTCCCCGGGCTCACAGTTGTAATTATTCTTTATGGACTCTCGGTGTTTCTTTAGATCTGACTTCCTCCGGCTCCCTCCTGCTTCCTGAGGTTTCCTGCAGAAGTGGCGAGCACAGATCAGTGGAAAGCGGCTGTTATTCATTCCATCTGGGTGTAGCGGGGGTTGGTCTGAAGGAACACGCTCACATTCTCAAGACTTTAAAACATACCTAGGGGGGCTGTGGTTGCTGCTTTTCTGAGGTCAACACAGATTAGGAATCCCAGTGGCCCCCAGTTAGCCCCAGCCCTCTGTGCCCAGGTCAGGAGGTGAACCCACTCTGACCTCTTCAAGGCCGCAGAGCCTCACCTGAAGAACTGGAGCCATGTCGTGTGAATTATACACCCGTGAGGTTGAACTGTAATAACGTATGCAAAAGTGTGTGATGTGATCAAAACGTAGTGGTTTTATTCACTTTTTTGTTTTTCTTGAGACAGGGTGCTGCTGTGCTGTTCAGACTGGCTTAGAACTCACGTAGCTCAGGATGCCCTTGAACTCATGGCAATGCTCCTCCCTCTGCCTTCTGAGTGCCGAGATTACAAGCATGTGCTACTATGCCTGCGCAGTCATTATTTAAATTGAAAATTCATTACAGTAAAAGACACATTGTCATTAAACCTCCTCAGAATCCTTCTCCTTGCTTCAAGCACTTAGCCCATGGTCCTTGTCACTTTCTGAAGCAGCTCTGGAAGTACTCTTTCATAAGTGTCTATAATTGTGCTCTCGCGTCTGCCTCGATGTCTGAATCGATTGAAAACATTTATTTTTCATAGTCATTTTGACTGTGGGGAAGAGTCCAAAATCACATGGTGCTGGGTCCAGCGAATGAGGTGGATGAGGACACAGTGCCAGGCTTTTACAAGCCTGCCTTTCCATTGGACAGCCCTGGGGAGCAGCATCCCCCCATAAAAACATCATGACCACTGAGTGACCCAGGGATACAGACTTGGAGGAAGACACATGGCCTTGAGGTGACAGAGGGGCCCCAGTTGTAGGCCTGGCCAAGTTCTGTTAGGTAAGGGGCAGGAGGCTGGTTAAAGGAAAGAGAGACTCCAGCCTGGACCTCATGTCCAGACTGCAGGGAAGAGGACACAGTCCCAGCACTGTGGACCAGCATCTAACCAGGGAGACCAGGAGGATTAACAGGGAGGGGCGGCAACTTGTCCTGAACTGGGGTCCACACCAGGTTGGGCTCCTGTATGCATGTGGGTGATGCCTGGCAAGCTATGCAGAAAAACAAACAGGGCCTTTTGGTGTTGGGGTACACAAGAATACCCCAAAGTCTAGATTCCACCTCTGTGTCCTTCAGCACCCCCTAAATGTCCCTGCTGCCTGAATGATGAGCTAGTGGTGAAAAGCTGCCACCCACCTGGGACCTGAATGCAAACCTCAGAATCTGAATCCACCCAGCCCTGCATCTGCATAGCCTTCCGCTTTGAAAGGATTTAAAAACAGGGGCATCGATGCTGACTAAGTGACATGTAGACCTATTAATCAATTTGACAGCCAGTGAGCTGAAGGAAAAAAGCAGCATAACCAACCTAATACATGCTGAAGGACTCATCTGCTGAGATTCAATACATCTTAATTTCATATACACACTAATACCATTGGTGTTAGCTAAGAATTCATTGTAGATCTCGAGTGTGATTTTTAAAATCTCAAAACAAAAATCATTGCTATGCTTAAGGATGACACAATAAAACTATTTTAATCAAAGTCAGGATGATGAGAATAATGCTTATCTTCACTGTTACTTAGTACTGTTTTGGAAATACCAGCCAAGGCAATCAGATAAGAGATAATTTGGAGATGTATACATAAAAATATCAAAATAATCAAGAAATTATTAGACTGGATAGCAAAATTCAGAGGTTTGCTTGTTTTAAACTTAATATATCAAGATCAGAAGCTCTCTTTATTTGAAAAATGAACATTTACAATCCCATTTGAATGGCAATACCATTTGAGCAGGAAGGATTACATTTTGTAAGACAACTTCAGGACTTAGATGAAGATGATATTTTATTCTGCTGAGAGACATAATGGCTACTGAGGGATATTTTCTGTGAGTAAATGAGATAACATATCTTATCTTTGGAAGAGGAGGCACAATTGTGTCAGGAAATAAATTACCCTAAATTAGGTTATATATTCCATGAAATAGAAGTAAGATACTAATAGGACCTGTTGGAACTTCTCAAAATGATGCTAAGTCACATGTGGGAAAATAAGTATCTGAGAATGATCCAAGGGATGGTGGAGAAGAAGAATGATACCAAAATACTGAGTTACTCCAGGAAGATCAGAGCATGAAAAGACGGATTGCACAGACGCAGGCAGAGCCCAGAGGTGTTCCACAGAGCCTGTGGGATGTTAGCGCTTCCTGAATAATGAAGCAGACAAGGTAGGCAGAGCGGAAGTATTGAGAAAGCCAGGGAAAGCAGCTTTCTGAGTGTCCTGTGCTGTATGATGATGCCACTGTACCCAAGAGACAGCCGAGGAGTGACACCCAGGAGAGGACAGAAGGAAACGGGGTGACAATGACCTCTTTGCTGGGGAGGATGGAGGTAGAAGCAAGGAGAGCAAAGAAGGTTTTTACTAAACTGGGAGTGGGGAGTGGAGGGGGAATGTCTTTACTGTTTTGAAAACAAAATGCTTGCGGCTTTCTGTGGATAATCCAAGCAATTAATAAGGGGGGTAATGTCAGCACAATTCCAGAAAAGTCACAATGGATCGATACTGGAATAGATAGATGGAGAGACACTTTGATGAAAATTAGATCATGTTATAATGTTGTGTATTAAAAGTGCCATAGGTTGAATTTTAGGGAACTAAGGAATTTTAGGTAAGTTGTTTATGTTTGTTTGTTTGCTTGCTTGCTTCTTCACTGTGAGAATGTTGGGGACCAAAAATTCACAATGGCTAAGTTTGCATATTTCCCTAGGGGATAAGGGAGGTTTGGGATAATTGCTGCCAATCATCTGAGATTTCCCATGGACTCTTCTTAACATAAGATCATCTACACCTCTTGAGTCTGAGTCTTCTGATGAATTTTATCCTTTGCTAGCCCTGCCTGTCACCGCATACACCTAATAAACAGTGGCTGCTTTGGGAGTGGAGGAGTCTGATCCAGAGACATTGACTTCCCAGCAGTTGATGTAACACTATACTTGTCTCTGTTTTTTATTTTTCTCACCATATTCTTAAGACAGACAATTGAGACTCTTGACCGGACTCCTGGTATGAGAAAACAAGTTGATTTATGAAGGACTTTTGGAAAATGAAGAAAAATAGATGATGAGCATTAACACAAGGGCCCCGCATCGTGTCTCTCACTTCAGCTTCTCACGGTTCCTGTTAATTTGCTGCTTTGACTCTGCCCAGTATAACCATTAGGAGCTGCAGACATGAACTAGTAAGAAAACAGATGGCAAGTGAGTGCATCTGCCCTTCCTCCTGCCCAACTTCTACCTACTCACCTGGTGTTGGTAGCTCTGCCATTTTTTGTCAGTATTAAAACTGTGTAATATCTATGATTGGTTGTGAAGCAATAACTCCCACACTGCTCAGTCCTGACTCTGCATCCATATGCAGGCTGCTTGCCGAGAGCTGCTATTCCTTTTGTTAGGTGATTGCCTGGGGTCAGTGTTTGGTTCGCTGGGTTTTTCAGGCTTAGCTTATGGATGTGGAAGCCTCTACTAATGTAACTCACTAGGCTGCCAGATTCATAAAGAAACCTTATGGTCATCTCCACAGATACAGAAAAGTACTCGGGTAAACGTAACGTTTATATATCTGACCACATAACAGCTCAGCAAAGTAACAAGGAAAGGGAACGTTCCGAGCTTGTTTAAAAAAAAACACCAATACATCAGTTAGAAGTCATCTTGTTTGTGTAGTAAAACTTGAGAAGCTCTTACTTTAAAATGAAAAACAAGAAAAAGCCATCTGTTATCATTGCTTCTAACTTGTATCACATTTGAACCATAGGGAGTATAAGACAAAGAAAAAATATCCCCTTTCCCTGGGGAAAAAAAAGAAAAACAGAACCCAAACTGAATAAAATATAAAGAGGAAAGGATGGGAAAGAAACTTCATTTTTATTTCCAGCAACGATAAATTCAAAAATGTAATTACAAAAATTTCTCCAGGAATACAACAAACTTACAAGAATCTGGGAATAAATAGAATGAGAGTCTGTGTTTTATTGAGAAAACTATAACAGAATTTTTAAGAAACTGAATAAGGGGAGACATGTTCTGGGTTTACAGGAAGAGCCAACTTTAAACAGATATCAAGCCTCTCTAAATTAAATTGTGAAGTTCGTGATACCCCAGTCAGAATTCCGAAGCACAGTCAGTGAAACTGTAGTTTTTAATCAGCAAATCCACAGAAGAGCTAAGAACAGCGGGCAGCACCCTCGGTGCTGTGGGGATGGATGGTGATTGGAATGTGGCCACCTCCATGCAGAGACAAGCAAACACACCTAGAACAGAGAGCTGAGGCCCTGTAAGCTGTCCCGTGCGGGTTTACACCACGAGAGCTCTGTGTCTGCGGAGTGGCAGAAAGGCTAGTGTGTGCTCCAGAAAGCTGCACGGTCCTGCATGCAAGATCGGATTAAATATTTCTGACAATTTCCCCATGCTAAATTCCAGGTAGATCTGAGAAGTAAGTGTGAAAGGTAACACTCGAAAGTCTGCACGATTAAAACAGGGCAAAGGCTGCAGAAATGGCAAACATGCTGTCCACTGTGGGATGGAGAGGAGGGAGTGTGAGTGGGAAGAGTTCTCTGAGGACTGTTTGTCTCTTCCATGATGCTGATGCAGGGCGACTCTGCGCTCCTGGGTCTCCCTTGGTGCACCCCACAGACAGTGTCCCTCAGGAGGACGTGCGTTGGAGCGCTTGTGTCAGAAAGAGTATTTGAAGCAGTTGCCACGTCCATCCTTGGGCCAGTGGATAAATTGCACCACGTTCATGCAACGCGATACCACACAACAATTACTATGAAAAATGTGGTGCTAATTTTGCCTGTCTGGAGTGGAACGGGACAGGAGCCAAAACTTCCAACTCTCTGAGCAACATTCCGTCTTTTCGAGGACTGGTATCTGAAACACAAATAGAAAACACAGTCGAGTAACATAAATTACAAGACTGACAACTGGCACCGTGATTCTTCGGGAGAGATTTGTCTCTGCTGAGGAGAAGTGGGTTTAATAAACTCCTTTAGCTCCAGGAGGCAGAACTCAGACAGTGCATTTGGAGAAAATGCAGGGCACCACACACTGTTAATCTATGATTAACTTAGCAGTGTGAAATCAGAGGTCGTGCTTACTTAAAAGTTGGATATTATACCATAATCTCAGCGGTTTGGAAGGCTGAGGCAGGAGGACAGTAAGTGTGAGCCCTTCCTGCGTAACTGAGTGACTTTGGGAGAAACTGTTTAAAAAGTTAAAAAATTCAAAAAGAACTGAAAATGTAGCTCAATGCAAAGGCCTGGGCCACTGCCTGGAACCACCATCACCACAAAGAATTAAATATCCTAGTGCAAAGTCTTGATGGTTTCACACTTCATAATTACCATACATCAGGTTTGTAACTAAGAAGCCATATTTATCAAGAAGTTCCAACTATACTAAAATCAAGAAATGTAGATCACAGTAATGAAACACCACTGTAGACAAACCATATAATCTTATTTTCTTTTTTTGGTACTGGGGATCAAACTTATGACCTTGTGCTTGTCACATGAGCACTTGAGCCACTGAGCTAAATCCCCAGCCCATCGTTGTAGACAAATCAAATTGTCAAGGATTGAATGAAAATGCCGAGACCCCCTATTGGAGGTATTTGGGGAAATGGACAGACTACTGCTAGCAGACTGCAAACCAGTACAGATTCTAGGGAGGGCAGCTGAGCCCTGGAAAACAGTCAGATGCTTAAAACCTAAACTGTACTTTATGCAAATTATGCTCAGCAAAGGTCCAGAAGAGCAAACATATTTACATGTGGGGAAGCATGTTGCCTTTTAAATTAGAAAAGTAAAATAAAGATGATCTCTGTATATGTACGACAGAACTGTATTCAAATAATCTGTACCCCATGATGAAGTAGTCATCAAATGTTAAAACTGATTTTCAATTTAGGGGAAAATGTTTAGGATATACCGTTCAGCTTTAAAGGTTAATTTCAAAACAGTATTACAGTTCAACTCCTTCACTTATATTAGCATCCAGACACACACAAATAGAAGGTGAAGAGAAAGGTTATAAATGGACAAAAAATTAAAATGAACTAATTAAAATGTCTAGATATTTAAAATAGTTCCTTTATTTTCCCTCTTTTGCACAATGTATATACATATGCTTTTAAAAATTGCTATCACCATAATATATATGCAATATATAATAGAATAATATACATATAACATATAATACATATAATATATAAAACATCTATTTAATAATATCATTAAAATATAATCATGGCAATTTAAAAATCAAAGCAAAATTTACAAGAAAAGGGAAAGATAGCTTTGCAGACTTCTCACCAAATTTGGGAGTCCTGTCCAGTTTGGGGGGGCCAAATCACGTGGACTGAGGGCTGCAGAATAATTCCTTCTGGTCCAGTCTCTTTCTAAATCCTCTGATGCCAGATGGTGGGTGTAATTTAGACTTCACCCCCTCTGAATCTATCCTTTATACTGTCGTACAGTTCCGTAAGACAGAGGAAAAGAAAATATTATTGCAGGGGATCGAGATCAAGGAAATCAGAAACATTATTACCAACTTTCTCATCTCCATGAACACATACATCCCATAAATAACTGCAAACCCATTATGTGATGTTCAATCGTCACAAGGCTAAGAAGTAAAATCACAGCAGGGCCTGAACTACACATGAACCGGAGGGGAGGAATCCCAGTCCTGTTGGGAAAATAAAGGTACTAATTTGATAAGGAGATTAAGGGAGTGGGCGAAGGAAAGGGAGGTTTCCTTGTTAAAAATTTACCACTGTTAATAGAATCCATTCATCACGCCCATCTGTTACCTCTGGCTGTGAAAACAGCCAACTAAGGAAGAAAGTTATAAAGGTCTTGCACCTCTGAAATGTTCTTACACTTTTTTAAGGAATATGAATTTTTGCATTTGCACTTAAGAGACAGCAAAGGTTTACTACAGTACAAGGTTCAGAGTGAAACACTGACGCAAGTGTTGTGACCAATAGCTGAGGTTGGCCCGCACCAAGCGCTTTTGGACATGAAGCAATTACAATGCAAGAGCAGAAGCTGGTGCTTCCCTGAGGCCTGTGCTGTCCCTGCCCAGGTAGCAAGCTGACGGCACACCCGCAGTGACGTAAGTTCCGTGACCTGCTGGGCATCCGTGCAGTGACCTGCAGTGAAGCTTCCTCAGCCACTCTGAGATTCTTCCAGTCCTGATCATTTCACAAGCTATGTCTATTTCTTCATGAAGTTCAGTGGAGGAAGGATTAATTTATTTGTAGCTATAAATATGTGTTGGGAGCCGCAGCCCCGAGCCCGGTCGCCTCACTTGGCGGACGTGAGGCCTGTAGTAAAGAGCAAAGCCTGAGGTAGATTGCCCCTCCCATCGAGCACGTTAGTTTCCTGCTTACCGCGTAAGCAACCCGCTCAACAATATAGTCTGCCTGGCAACTGATGATGTTAGCCAATCAGCTTGCCTTGCTTACTTTAACATGATTGGACACTGTACCCGTATATATACCGGTGCCACCCCTGGGCGGAAGAAGAAGCCAGGTAGAAGCCCGGAAGTAGAAGCCCAGAAGGAGCCGCGGAGAGCGGACCGGTAGAGGCTTCGGAGCGAAGCCCGGAAGGAGCCGCGGGGAGCGGACCAGAGGAGGCTTCGGCTGGGAGCGATCCCAGGGCAGGCTGTACGGAGAAGGAAAATAAAAAGAAAAGGTTGTCCACTACCAGACTTTGTCGTGTGTCCTTCCTGCCGGCCGGGAGCGGACATCGACAAATATGCATTGTAAAAGTTGCAGGTAAGGAAATTTTAAGTTTTAAAAACGCTGTTTTCAGGAGCACATTTGAGCACCTGCTCTCCACTGACCTCTGCTCCAGGACCTGCAGTTGAGACACAGTTAATATTGAGTCTCTGTCCAGATGACCTGCAAAGGCCAGGTCCAGTACGGCCAGGGTTGCGAGCAGGAATGTGCAGACTCTTGCAGCAGGGTAGCTCTACTCTCGGTGCTAGGGGCACGCCATTCTCACTGTCCTGAGCTCGTGTCAGGACCACACCTCTCTGCTGGACCCAAGTGAGGCATGCATGTGTGACTTGCTTTGCCATGGTGACCAAGGTGCATCCTCCTGCTGTCCCACGGCTGGCCACGCAGGGTATGTACAGAGCGAAAAACTAGCTTTAGCTGGTGTACCACTGAGATTCACAAGTTGATTGTGGCTGTGGCCCACTCCAGCCCTGCTGATTAATACAGGGAGAGACTAGTGGGGTGGGATTTGGAGGGGTTAACCCAAGATAGACGGACAGGGATGGCAGAAGCAGTACGAACAGAGTCCCCAAGTGCAAAGCCATTTTCCTTTGACATGACTGGTCCTCCCTGGGTCTGCCTGCTCATGACTGTGTCCTTTCTTCCCAGGCCCCTGGTCAAGTGAGTTATACTCACTCCCTAGGAAATGGATAACCTGTGCCCTAAAAGACAGAGGTAAGCCCTTGGTATTCTCATGCTATCTGAAACCAGAAACTCAGTGTCCACCATCATAGCATAAATACATAAATGTCAGTGAGCATACACACACATGCATGTACACACCAAGGAATACTATACAGCAATGAAAAGAAGTAATCAGGTACAGGCACCAATACTGATGAATAACGCAAGTATCATGTTGACAAGAGGGAACAGATAGAGTAAAATGAATACTCTAGACTGCGTTTACATGAGGTTCAAACTAGATAAAACAATAAAAAAAACATCACATGAAAAGCACAACAGGAGTGAACCCTGAGGCACACAATGGGCTCAGTGACCACAGCAGGTCACAGTAGGTCACTGAGATGTTGGAACTGTGGGACCCCAGGCATATGTGGGGTGGGAAACTCTGCACCTTCTGCCCAACATTGCCTTGAATCAAACTGTCTAAAACGTAAAGTCTATTTAAAAATAAAAAGTGAAAGTTTTCAGTGGGGTTTTCTGCTCTGAAATGAGGTCTGGGTGTCCACAGCCACACCCCACCTGCCAGCCACTCAGCCCCTGCAGGAACAGTAGCACTTCGCTTGGCCCACAGAGGGCACCAGTTTCCTCCGCCCTCTCCCAGCCTGCTTTTCACACTTGGGTCTCAAGATTTCCCTTCTTGGCGTGGGCACTGGGGGAAGTCATCCCTGACGCCCTTGGGAGCCCTCGAAGAAGACTGCACTTTGTTCCCCTGCGTGGGTCCTGAAGAGTCTTGAGAGCTCCGTGTGGAGTCATCAAATTCTTGCTTTCTCTATTAGTGAATCATCAACCGTGCAACCAGCCCTCCCAACCCCTTGCTCAGGTTCTGGAAGACATTCCACACGGCCTTTGTGACTGCAGAGTCAACTCCTTACTCTGTCCCAGGAGCAGTTCTTTGCATGTTATTTCCTTCTACTGTTGATCCATATGCGTAATTTTCACAAGCCTGCAATTAGCATATTCATCAGTTATGCTAAAGAGCTTTTTTGAAGCACCGCCTCCCCTGGGCATGCACGGCGTATCATCTAATTTCTTCCCATCATTGGTGAGAAGCCTGCTGAGGTCAGCTCCTCCAAACCACAAGACAAGCTGCAACAGAGGGGCGGGGTGCCTGAAGGGACCCTGGCTTGATCCCCAGGGCCCTTGGCCTGCTGAGCACAGCATGGAGCCCTTCTCTCCTGTCAGTGGACTTGCAAGGGGTTGAGATCTTTCCCAGCTACTGTGGTACAGATTGCTTTTAGAGGCCCAGAGTACAGTGTCTGGAAACCTATTCATTTCACTTAAACAAAGCAACAACAGCCATTGTATTTTTTTTTTTTTTAGTTGAACAAGTGACAAATCATAAACTGTATGCATCTTCTCTACACCAACACTAGTCTTTCCAGAGTTCTTCGGAGACTGAATCTGAAACCAGTCTTCCTAGAAAAGAAGTATGGAAGACAAGTGTCACCCAAGTACCGGTAGAGTTGGAACCTGGGAACTTGGAGAGTTTCTGCTAAATGTAAGCAGGTCCCGATTTTAGGTCACCATCCCTGGAGGGTTCCTCTCTGGTGCCTCAGTTTCCCTCTGCACTCTCTCCTCCCTTGTCATCTCCCCTTTTTACCCCCTTTCTCCAACCCTACTCTCAGGAGGACCAGATACTGGAGCCCAATGCCAGAGGCTCAAGCTAAAGCTCTGTCATCTCTCATAGTGACTCTGGACGCTTGGAAACCCAAGAAGCCACTCTGAGCTCCTGGTGAGGCATGTGTGGGCTCCCCAGTAAAGTTGGGAACAAAAGAACAAAATCTTGGACAACACTGGGGACATTAGAGCCAGAGCTGCCTCCAACTGGGGCATGTCCAGGGGCAAATCCCCTTGGCTGTCTACAGGAGGTTGGCAGTAGCTGAGAACTCTTTGTTCAGAATTTCAGAACTGTGTGTTTTTGCTCCCCAGCACGCTGGCTTCATACGCATTATCATTTTTCTCCATTCACATCATCATCTTAGCAGAGCGATCTTCCGTTGCGCTCTAAAATACACTTGTCTCTGTTCCCAGAAGGAAGAGCGTGGTAAACAGAAATCAGATCTCTGTCCTGTGCAGAAGGCATGCCATAATCTTAGGTCCAGTTCCGGTCACCCTCCGTGTCCACGCGACACAATGGTGATGGGGAGAATGCAAGTTCGAGCTGGGGCTGAGCACTTGACACCAGACACGCAATTTAATGGGTATTTTCCCAGGCCACTGGGGCTGTTTGATCAGCCCCTCTGACTGGTCGCTTTAGTGTTGTGCAGACAGTCTTAAAAATCAGATTCAGTTTGTGTAATCGACCAGATGACCACCATTTCACCTCCCCTCCCCACAGTGCCCTTTCTTCTACCCATTCTTCACGCCATTCAAAGTGGGCAGGGTCAGGGGCAGGACACAAGCGCCGGCCTCAGGGGCCCTTGGGCCAGTACCAGCTGGGAGATCCATCAGCACCGTGACCGGGGCAAGCTGCGGCCCTGGGAGAACCGGGGCAGTGTCTGCCTGACACCGCACAGACTCCAAGATGTAATTCCTAAGTGTCTTCCCACCCTTCCACCTCATACTGCTTAGAAGCCTTTTAGATAAGGGACCAAGCTTTGCTCACTTTATCCCTGGGAATAAAATAGTTATGCTGTAAATATTTGTGAATTAAACAATTGGCTCAGTAAATTTGTTTGGTGGACAAGAAGACAAGCACCCCAGTTCCACGCCCCTCAGTGTGAAGAGGCATGTGTGTGTTTTCTCTTTTGCTCATTTTTCCAGCTCCTCCTCCCCTAGCCGTGTGATAAGCCACCAGGGCAGCACTCAGCACCCAGTAGGTACTGCTAATGTTGCTCAGATCAATTAACTGGCAAGAATCCATTTTCAGATCAGGTGCTGCACCCAGACACACTTTAGTGTTGGTCTGATGCTCTGCACTCATCTTTGATATATGAGTTTTTGGAGGTGGCACACACCTATAATCCCAGCACTCAGGAGGCTGAGGCAGGAAGATCAATGTGAGTTCTCACGGCCAGCCTGGGCTACATAGTGTGTTTAAGACCAGCCTAAACCGCATAGCGAGACCCCGTATGTGTCCCCACTGGAATGCCAAGGAATCTACGTCAGAAACCTGAATAAATCAGAGACCAAGGTCCTAAGGCAATGGCAAAGATTGGAGCTCCTTCAAAAAAAGGAGCATTTCCTTTTTCTTTCTGTTTTCATTCCCTCCTGGCTCGAGCCTATTGGTTGGTGCCACCCACATCCAGGGAGGGTCTTCCTCACTCTGTTTGCTGTCAGTATTCATACACACGCCCAGAGCTGTACCAATCCGCTTCTCAACTCAAGTTGACACATCACAATGAATGGCCACACATGGATTACAGAAAGCACAGAGTGCCAGGAAAGGAAACTGATTAGGAAGATGGAGAAACAAAAGGGAGGAGATCACACTGATGGTCAGGATGGAGCTGGCTATCCCTCGGGTGTGCTAAGATTTTCTCAATCCTGTTGCTCTATCCTCACAGTGGAGATGCTCCAGACTTGCCTCTGAAAACCACAAGAGACCTGCAGTGAGCAGCTGGGAGGGAGACACTTTATGACAATGCTGGTGAGCACGAAGCCCATAGGCCACCAGGTTCGGTGCTTCCCCTGGAGGAGACACCAGTGCCCAGTCACAGAGCCCTGACAGCTCGGAGGTACAGTTGCCCCTCTGGTCTCATGGGCTCTGCATCTTTGGGTTCAACCAACAACAGATGAAAATATTTTTAAAAGTTGTATCCATATTGAGTAAGTGCAGACACATTTGTCATTATCTCTTAAACAATATATCAATTATTTATATGTTGTCTACATTGTTTTATGTGTTAAAAGTAATCTAGAGATGATTTAAACAACACTGGAGGATATAATTGGTCGTGTAAAAATACTGTGTCCCTTATAGAAGGAAGTTGAGTGTGTGAGGATCTGAATGTCCTTGGGGTCTTGGAGTCAGTGCTTTGCAGACTCTCAAGGACAACCACATAGCCGGAGATTACTGAGAAATTAGATACAGAGTACAGAGGATGAAAACACCATTCATTAAAAAAAAACAAATATGTCCGTTATATTTCTTTACGGTTGAAAAGTCTTCCTATTATCAAAAACACATTGCATGTGATTCCTGAAACATAGCAGACGCCTAACAAATATTTGGAATGGGCATTAGCAGGCGCCTGGGAGCAAACGTGCATGGTAGAAAGAAACTCCGTGTCTGCAGTCTGTTCTCCTCAGTGCACAGAAGTGACAAAGTGAATTGGGGCATGTCGGCCTCTGAAAAGGGGACCCACACTGTTTGAGCCCCGCTATGTGAAGCCTAGGACTAGGGAAACCCCAGAAAGAGGAGAAAGAGGAGTTGGGGCTGGGGGGTAGGAAGGGGACCGTGCACTCGGCCACACGTGGTCAAAGGAATAGTGCCAAACTGTTCTGTGACTCTACAGGAAGACAGGTCACTTTTCTTTATCTTCCCCCCAGTCCCGGGGTTGGCAGGAAGCTGGGGAGGCATCCGTCCTCATGTCTCTGCCCAGCCTACAGGGAGGCCCAAGAATCACCACCCCAGACTCAGCCCAGGATGCACTGGTCCAGTCACGGACACAGGTGGTGCCTCTTCCCAGCTTAGCAGCAGCTTCTCATCCATCACTCTGTCCAATGTGACGAGGGTCAGTCTGCTCCCACAGCCTCAGTGCCAACACTGTCCATCCTTGAGAGCCCCTGAGCTGCCCCAGAGCCCCACTGCTGGAAGGGGAGGGTCCTTCGGGCTCTGGTCCCTCCCTCACTCCTCTCTGTCCACCTCCAGCCCTGCCTTGTCCACCATCTTTCCTGGGAGCCCTGGTGTGCTCACTGGCGACCCCTCCTGGGCAGGCTTCCTCCTTGCTCTGCATGGTCATCCCTACAGGTCCCTGTTCCTCCTCCTGATCAGAAGACCTCCAGACCGGCCATCCTGTGCCCTCGGATCCTGTGTCCCCAACCCCTGTCAGGCTGGACATCCATCCTTCCCTCTGTCTCCTTGGCTGCTTTGACAGGAACTGTGGTTGATTTTGCCCAACAGCATTGTGAGCACCAAGTACAGATGGCTTTTACATCAGCCACCCAGGGTGGGAGTCACGACACTGGGCTGTGGGAAGAGTCAGTAACTCACATCAGCAGGGGGCATAGGCAAGGATGCAGGCTGGCCAGGCCCATGGGAGGAGCGATGCCCATGGCCAGGCTCTGCTGGATCAGTCAACCTGCCTGCCAATCCATAAGACAGGTCCCAGCAGGGTCCCACTTGAGGATCTGGAGACAAACACACATGGTTATTTGCTCACGAGCCAAAGCCACCATGTTGGAAGTGGTGGGGTCTCTTCTCGACCTTAGATTCTTCTTCCCACATCCAAAACCAGAGACCAGTGCAGGGTGATGCGGCCACCAGGCCAGGCCATAGGAGGAAAAGAGACACCTCCCACAGGGTGAGTAGCCCTGGACACATGTGAGCCACTGGGCTGGTAGCATCTGTTCTCCCCTGCAGACAGACTCAGTTTGCTTTCTCAGTGAGGTGGGCTGGGACCAGCACAGTGGCAGCTGGAGGGAAAGATGCTTCTGCTGCTGCTGGCGATGATGCCACTGCTGATGATGGTTATACAGATACTGACAACTACAGTTAATTCCTGTCCAGAAAGGGACCTAAGATCCCATCAGCCCAAAATCACCCACCCAGATGTGTCTGTCATCTGAGTCACTACCAGGGGTGGCCCTCTCCCCTGTCATGTCCTCAGGATACTTCAGGCTCAAAGGGTCTTCCAGGCCCTGCTCATAGTGTCACAGACTCACACTTGCCAGGTCATCTTGTCCATTACCTCCTGTCATCACGTCATTGGTGTCACAGCCTAGGGGCCTCTGGAAACTGTTCTAGACCACATGCCCTGATCTGTAGAGATCCTAGAGTGACCACAGCCCACAGAAGAAGGCTTGGCACTGCCTCTGCCTTGGGGTAGACCAGGGGAGGGTGGAGGAGCATGGGAGGAGGAAGGTGCCCCAAAGGATGAGATCCTAGGAAAGAAGAGAGTGATTTAAGACATCTCCAACCCACCCTCGCTGTTCCCCGCACAGGGCTTGGTCGGATTGGCCGCAGAAAAGGCCGGTGCCCCCGGGCCCTGTGGCTGAATGGGTGCTGCATTCAGCTCATCAGCTGCTTGGCAGAAGTAACCACGTGGGAGGCCAACAGCAGATGCCATTGTCCACGTCCCCCAGCTTTGGCACAGGCTGATCCTGTCACACAGCACAAGCAGCCTGCGGAACCTATCGCTGAAAGCATTTACACTTTTTCTCCCTACAGAAGAATGATTCTGACAGGATGAGGCTGAATAAACATTTATTTACCTGCTGTTTTCAGAAGACAGATAGAGAAGTCATTTTATGCTCAGGAAAAATCATTGATCGGTAAGAGCGGTAGTCTTAGAATATCACTTCCAAGTCCTTCTCAGGGCTGTTATTGACCGGATGGTAGAGGCCCCTTTTATTTACTTTATGAAAATTGAGAATTCTGCTTCTGCCTGCCTGCCAGGGCCTCACTGCTCTGGGGGGAGTGTCATTGTGCTGAAGGTTTTTGCTGTCAACCTAGAAGTACTCCCTGGTCCAGCGGTTCCCTGCATGGACTCCATTATGTGGGTTTCTTTGTGTCTTCCATGATGAGCAGCTGGTTAGGGTGGAGATCTTCATAGACTTTGCAGCTCCCAGCATTCATCTCATGCTCCGTACCTGGAGAAGAAGGAAATTTGTCCTGCACACGCTGCATATCAACACAGCTTGAAGCAAGTGAACCACTAAGCACATAGGAATTTAACTGCTGCCATCAATAAAGCTGATATAACTGACCCATGACGGTTGACCAGAGGGATGGGACCGGTGTCATATTATTCTCAGAATTTTCTAGTGTCACTCACAATAAAGCATTGCAACAATAGCCCAGATATGTCTATGATCCAAGTGTCTATGAACAGGTAGAGAGAGAAAATGGGGCATTTATACACAGTAGGATACTATCTAGCCATGAAAAATGTCTCAATGCTTGTGGCAGCATGGATAGAACCAGAGGTCCTTATCGTAAGCATAATAAAACAAGCATAGGAAGAAAAATATTGCATGATTCTCTTTTGTGCAGACTTTGAAAACAGAAAATGATCTAAAAGAATAGAATGGTTATCACAGGGATGGTGGGAGAAGGCAACAGAGAGGAGGTCAGACAGTGAGTATGGAGAAGATTACATGTGAGGAATAACTCCTGGGTGACAAAGGGTAACAATACCGTATACCGGATAATTCAAAATAAATAGGAGAGAGAAATGAATGGGAAATCTGGAGGTGACCAATGCGTTACACAGCCCCACCTGATCGTTCCATCTTGTACACATATCTCCAGATAGTACGCTGTAGAGTTACGGGCCAATTAATAATTTAGAAATTAAACCAGGAAGGGAAACGGCTTGCATGAAGATGGAATCCATGCTTGCCAGTTGGCATAGGAACGTCCCCCTCGCCTCCGTGTGCTGGGAGACACATGAGTGTGGCAGCTGTGTGTCGGTGTGACAGCCTCTGACCCCGGGCCCTGTGCTGTCTGCACCGAGGCTGCATGTGTGTTTGCACTCATGGCTTTTATCACAATGGCACCTCCACATGCAGAAGCGTCAGCCATGGCCACTTCCCATCAGCAGTGCCTGGGAGAAAGACGAGGACCCCTGCAGAAAGGACGGGTGCAGCCGGGGCCTCCCCAGTAGAACCTC